TTAGTATGGCTTAATGTAGAGAGAAATGCTATGGATAAAGCCATGCTCGTCCATATGTGACTCACACAAAACACCACACTAGAAATCCCCTCTAGAGTACAAGTTTTTAAACTCTAGAGGGGTGTAGCCGTGCAACATAGGGCAAGTAAGTTTTAATTATCAACCCGGGCCGATCCATGTACTCCTACTTCAATCGCTTAGGTTGTTATCTAGCAAGCAACTTTTGGGTTTAGAACTAATGGAACTACAAACTAAACAAGTTAAGAAAAGTAAATAAAGGAAAATTCTAACTAAGGGAGCTTCACCCAGGAGTTGCTTCCCCCTAACTAGCTACCAGGACTCGTTGGATAGAATGGAGTCGTGGGTGTAGGTGGTTGTGAACCGCGAGGGTGAGCAACTAGTGATCGATTTGTCATGGAATCAATTCACTAGCGATCGATTTATCACGGGATCGATCCACTCACAACGTCTAGGGAAACCGCTAGGAGGAGCAACTAGTGATCCATTTGTCACGGGATGGATTCACTAGAGATCGATTTGTCATGGAATCGATCCTCTCACTCAGTCTTTAGGGGTTGCCTAAGTCTCTCCCTCAAGCCGTAGTTTGAGCGGCTTAATCACGACCAACCTAAATGCAAACTTGAGTTAAGGGGGATGCTTATCTCTAACCTAGATAGTAGGCACAAAGTGCCCAGGAAAACCAAATTTGTCAAGCCTACCTAAAAAGGTGTGGTTTTCCTCTAATCTAGGTTAGGCAAGCACACAAGATTTGGAAAGCACAACTAAGTACAATCACCATGAAAACACCTATAATACTCAAATTGATGGAAACCCATACAAAATCATTCCATCTAAACAAGTAATTACAAAGTATTAGTTAGGGATCTACAACACCCAAGAGAAAAGAGTGAGTTTCTAGAGAGAGAAGAGAGGGATTACAAATTTGAGCTCAAGGTCTTCTTCTTCTTCTAGGCTTGAATCCTTGTCTTCCAGATCCACCCAAGCCTCCAATGATACTCCAAGATCACTATAGCACTCTCTCTCTCACTAGAACTCCCCTTTGGTGTTTTTGGGCAAACCCTAGAGAGGGAATTGAATTTCTCTCCAAAAACCAGCTCTCCTTCTCTCTCCCCGTTATTGTCTTCATATTTGCTCGAAAGTGACCAGTTCACGGACGCGTTGACCAGTTCACCGCCATGAACACCTAAACGCGTGCGTTAACCCAGTGTCGTCTCTAAAACACACCCCTTTGCTTTTGTTTTTCACGGTCATTGGCCCTAGTTCATGGTCTTAGCGACGTTGAACTCCCTTGGCGTTGGTAACCTCCGAAACATCGTTGGAATGCTCAATGTTCAAGATTTGTGGCTCCAGTTAACGGTCTTAGGAGACCGTGAACTTCCTTGTTCGACCATGAACTGCGGCGGTTTCCTGGACGCCTTCACTTCACTGTTACAGGGCAATTGTCACGGTTTTCAGACTCTTCTTTGGTTTTTGCGCTTTTTGACCTCCAATTATCCCAAAACTCGTCCTCGATCCTTCCACACGTGCTAGGACCTGGAATGTGTCAAAACAAGCACAACCTAGCGTGAAATATGTTGAGGAATGATGAAATACTACGCTAAATGAATAAGAAATGAGGGGTATAATGTGTACATTTGGGCCCGAATCAATATGCGTAGTCTGCCTACCAGAACATATATTGAGATGCTATGGAAGTTGCCTCCTTTTGAATGGGTAATTCTCAAATCAGATGACTCCCTCACGCTGATTTAGGTTATGCAGTTGCGGGTAGCCTGATCCGATATCAGGAAGACGACATTGCATCGTAGGCTCTAAAGCTGGGAATTTGCTCTATTACGAGGACATAATTGAGAGACGCTTTTGAAGGTCTCTAGTTAGCTTGGAGCTCGGGAAATAATCGAGACAAAGTTGAGCTTGACTCTAAGTGTGCAATTCAGCTCCTTGCGAGATAGGGGGTAGGGCCATCATCACACAACCATTATCTGGAGATTTTCGGAGCTAGAATGTTACTATATGCCATGTTGATTGAGAGGATAATAAGTGTGCATATTATTTGACTAGTCGAGGGCACTAATTGTCGCTTGATTTACATATTATTTATTTATTTATGATCCTGTTAAATTGTATCTTTGTATTGTGTATGAATATCACGCGTTGTCTGGACCCGATTGGTTTAAAATGAAAGTTGAGATGCACGTCATTCATTTATTGAAAAAATTACATTTACACTTTGATTCATCTACGTGACTCATTACCGTGTTTGTTTGAATTCAACATGACTACATCCCTGAGGTTTTGAAGGGGAAAAGACACTCAACAAAGGAAATGTTTCATAGTTTCATTTCAAGCACATTTATCTCCATTGTTGCATATCAATACATACCGAATGCAAAATCTTCCCTCTCCCATCGAAGTGGTGGTTGACATAGGCAACATATCTTATTCTTAGGAAATTATCTGCTCTCATCCAATCTATTGGTGACCATTTCCCTTCGTAGACATATGGCCAAATGAGATAATCTTCTCTTGCCCGGGAAGTTGTCTGATCGAGGTATCGATCGTAGTACTCGATCTCCAGTGGTAGGGAACCACTCTCTTTTCTTACGTTCATCATGCTGATGCGTCCTCTTCCCCCCTTGTAAATATTCACGGGCAAGGCAATAAAATCCGGGAGGGAATTTGATTCACCTTTGTTATGCTTTATGTCAAAACTGAACAAAGAGAACAAACGTGGCTTGCAAAGATCTAGCATCGATGGGAAGGATAGAGACTTGACTATAAGTTCTTTAAAATTCTTGGATGGTATAGATAATATATGAAGTTTCTGTGCACACATAAGTAAGTTAGACGCGGGAAAATGAATCAATTAGCATAAAAACGAGTGTCAAGGTTCGGTCTGAAAGTTTTAAAATGACTCGACTCTATTCGATACTGAACAACGTTATGCCTACCACCAGGTACAGTGCATAATCTGATCAATTTGGTATATGAACTCTTTATAACATGATCTTGCCTCCACAAACAGCCGAAAAAGAGTTTGGTCAAAATCACATGATCACGATCCTATCATATGCTTGGGTTTTTCTTTTGTTTGTGTGTGTTATCTTTTGGGCTTTCTGGTACTTTTGAGATCCCACGGGGCATGCAGGGTAAAATTTGTGAAGGAAAGAATTGCTAAGGTAAGAAGAAAGATTGCTACGAGAATTCCACACCATTCCAGTGGGCTGTGTCTCGGTGGTTTTGGCAAAAGAACTATTTGTGTCCATTATTCCAATAGTACGCAACAAATCTTATCGCACGTACAAAAATGGATTCGTTCGCACAAATGATTGGTTGTTGACGATGGATGATTTGTTTACAGTAATAGGGTTCTAAATTATAATCTATAGTATTGTTGGTTTGTTTTATTCCTTTTTTTCTAATTACATGTTGAGCTATATATAAGCTATATAAGTTAAACTTAACCACTTAAGTTGGTACAGCATTTATTAAATTGCAATAGCAACAATAATTGAACGGATCAAAATTATCAAAAGGTGACTCGATTGGTAAGTTATAAGAGTTGACTCGTTGTGCTTCTGAATTCAATTCTCACGATTAATTATTATGAGAATTTTTTTGTGAGTTCCATTAAGTAGAGTTGTAACTTCGAAGCTCACACGAGTTTGTCGAGTATTCACGAGTATCGAGATTAAACGGATGAAATAGAATATTGTTATGCATTTTGATTTTGGGGTCATGTTTCATCAATCGAGAAGAATTATAGTTTGTTGTTTTTCTGAAAACTTGGCAAACCATTAGGGTTTTCTTTCTAATATTAGAGCAAGCCATTAGGTTGAGTAAAGAGGTTTCTGTTCTAATTCATTCTCCAGCCTAATTCATTCTCCAGCCTAAAACAATTGGCTTTTTTAATTTTGCATTTTGGTGCTTATATGAAAGCATTGGCTGAGAAAACGGAAAACCGCTTTCCCGCCGGAACAAAACAAGAGGAGGAAGGAGAGGAGAGAGAGGATTCTAGAACTTCACGAGCCTGCCCAAACGTAAGGTTGGTTTTGCCCAATCTTTCGCTCTCTTTTTTCACTACCAAGCAAACCGGCCATGACAGAAATCATCTCTCGAATAATAAAAACACATGAACTAAAAGCCACAAAGGTAAAACTTATGGCCGAGAATCAAAGCTTGGTCTTACACCATCAATTACAAAAACGACGACGGCTTCTTTGCGGATTGAAAAATTGGAGGATTGGACAAAGTTAGAAAATGAAAATAAGGACAAACACTACACACGATCTGCGTGGTTCACTAACAACCGTTAGCTAGTCCACGGACAGGAGAGAGCCAGATTCACTATATTTAGAGAGATACAGATTGCGGGAAAGTATGAGAAGTATTTGTATTACTTCTCCATGTGGTCTAACCCTCATCCAATCTGATAAAGAAAAGCGGTTACAATCAGACCCAGAACAACAACCCAAACATGTATCGACCCAAACATCATAGACATGAGGCGTTGCCTCCGAGCATCCATCGAGGGAAGCATCGCTCCCTCGAACCCCATGACTGGGGCGTTGCCCTGGACCCCACTCTCTGACCGAGCAGGGAGACTTCCGTGACATCCCATCGTAGTCAGATAGTCTAATTCAAGTCACATCAACACCCAAAATCAATCACCAGGGCTTTTGAACAACTATATATGTAGTAATTGAAACTTACTCTCGCACATGATGAATTTAACGGAACTGGTCGTTCGATGATTACATGAAATCAAAATCCGTCACTAGTAAAAAAGAAAATTTATTGATTTCAATAACTCTAGATATCTGTGAAATATAGTTATATTGGTCGGTCACATGAGTCTCCCCTTTAAAGCCAACCTTTTTTTTTCAAATGCCAACATTACTAGCATCCCCCTCCACCACCTGAAAAAAAAAAAAAACAGAATCCTCTGTTCTTCATTCCTCTCCATTCCCAAAAACAAAATGAAACCCTCAATTCCTCGTACGACATTCCCTCTCCCATTCCTCATCCTCCTCCTCCTCCTCCTCCCCGCCGTCGTCCGCTCCGGCGACCTCATCGAGGAAGTGTGCAAGAAAACCCCATTCTACGGCCTCTGCGCCGCCACTCTCCACTCCAATTCCTCAGCCGCCGCAGACATCAAATCCCTCGCCGCCACCGTCACCAACTTCGTGCTCTCCAACGCCACGGACACGCTGTCCTACATCCAGGCCCAACTGAAGAAAGAAAAGGATCCCAAGGCCGAGAAGGCCCTGGCGAATTGCGCCGAGCTCTACATCCCCGTGGTGAAATACAACCTGCCGCAGGCGATCGAGGCCTTCTTCAGGGGGTACTACGGCTTCACCAAGTACGCGCTCTCCGACGCCGCCAAGCAGGCCGACGCCTGCGAGGACAAGATATCCGGCGCCGGCGCCGGCGGAGGGGAGCTGAGCGCGAGGAACAAGGCGGTGAGCGATCTGTGCGGCGTCGGGGCGGCAATTGTTGGCCTGCTGATGAAAGTCGGAGGCCGAGGGTTGAAAGTTTGACTGGCTGGCTGTTTATTATTTATTGGGTTTTAATTTTCTTACATGGGGTTGTTTTTGGATTTTTGATCCACGTGTCAGATAATTAGTGGCTGATAGGTTTCTTTTCGCCTACTTTTGTGTTTTAGCTTTTTTTTATCGGTTTGCCAGCGGCGTTTTTTAGTTATTTATTAATTGGATGTAGTGTAGTGTAAACGTGTCGTGCTCTGGAGACACGAGAGAGTCACGGTGGTTGATGTCGAATTGTCGATAATGTGGTTTTGGTATTAGCGGTTTTGTATAATGGTTAAATCAGATTAATGAGTTAAATTAATTTTCTTGTTTGTGTATTTTTGGTAAGGGTGAACTTCTTATATAAATCCTCCATTAATATATAATAGAGTTTTGTTTAATTTTCTCCATTTCAAATTTCCTGTAGTGAGAATGCAAATAGGAAGGATATTTTTGTCTTTACAATTAATTATTTATTTCTTATAAAAAATATCTTGATACTTCAAACAAAGACAACAATCATAACTAATTACACAAAATGAATTTGTTGCTTCTATTTAAATACAAAACATACACAAAGTTAAATTCTGGAAAGTGAATGACTGTTACATCATAATCAACAAGCCCGCTAAATTTACCGTATGTATTTTTTTATGGTGCTTAATACTTCAATTCCATAGTAGAGTTTCATGTAATTTTATCCATTTTAAAATTCATGCTCTCTCCTTAATTTTTGCTAAGGTAAATTTGTAATTGGCTAGCATGAAAGAAACTATTTCTTTTACTACGTGTTGTGTCATTGCATTTTCAATTTAAATTTTGTGCTTTTTTATTATTGTTCTTATCTATTTCTAACTTCCTCCGAAATTCCCTCCATGCAATAGTTTGGCCGTTTCACTTCCCAGTGAAAATTAATCTTCCGGGTTCTCTTGGCATGCAGTTTTATTCTTGAGGATTTAAGCTAGGGAAGTAGAAGATTTCAATCCGATATCAATCCATGGCGAATAGAATGGAGTTCAATCAAGTAGTTATGAATTTGAACTTGGAGTAGAAGAGTTGAAATTGAGTTTGAGAATGGAAGTGGGGGGGGGGGGGGGAGAGAAATTGTTTTTTTGATTTGGTAGAAGGTAAAGTTCCACTGCAACTGGTAAAGGCATATAAGAGGGAGTTGGAGAGGGCAGTGAGCGAATTTAGGAGGGTATTGAAAGACATGGAAATGAAACTGGAGCAGTTAAAGAGAGAGAAGTGAGAGATGGTGAGGATAGTAATGAAAATGGAGAGAGTATTGAAGGGCATGAAAGTTGACTGAAGCAGGTGAAGGCAGACAAGAGGGAGATGAACATATTGATGGAATTGGAGATGAGTGTTGGTTTTAGCGTAGTTATTACAACTGCCTCTGCGGAAGATGAGTTGGCAAATCACAAGAAGAAGATTGAGGAGTTGAAGAGCCAGTTGACAAGAACCCCAATTGGAAGAGAAATTGAGGGCCACAAAATAGAGTTGTAGAAGGAGAGTTAAAAAGTCAATGTTTGGTTGAAACATATGCCTCTTGAGATTGAAGATAGAGTGGATAAAAATTTGGTCGTTCAACGAGAGTGGCAATTGACTCTTTAGGTTTATGATTTTTGCAGCTACCACAACCTACTTCTATCTTAAAATGAGGAATCATTGGTTGATATACTGAAGTAGGTCGATTCTTTATTCAACCTACTGAAACTGATAGATAACGAGTGTCTAATTTTGTGTCTTATGACTTTGATCAAGTCTATTAATATGGAGGTGGCCCAAATTTTGTCGTTTGCTCTTAAGTTTTGATGTTTCCCTGTTAGCTTAGTTTTTAGTATATAGTTGAACCAACAACTCTCCATTTCTTTTTGGGCTAATACCACTAGGAAACCCGAACTATTAACTTTGTGTCATTTGTGTCCTAAAGTATTCGATATGACATTTGTGTCCTAAACTATTTTTCTGTTAGAGTTGACTGGCGTTGACCGTTACTTTTTAACTGAAAGTCTAGTCAGCGCTGATGTGGCATCTGATGTGGAATTTTATTATTTATTTTTATTTATTTTTCATAAAAGATGAGTAAACTTACAGAAATTAAAAGAAAAAAAATCTCTTGGTGTCCTCTCTCCTCACTCGACACCGCTTCTCCAACCCTTCATCGCGTCGCGCCGCCGCCGAACATCCCCTTCCCTCCGTCGAACAGATCCAAGCCAAAGATCCTGAAAAACGAGTCTGACCCCTCCTGCCATATCGACATCCAAACACACTGGACATAGTGAGCGGTCTATTCATTCACAACGGTATCAGGTCATAAGGAGAACGACTGGCCAAACCTGGGAAGATGAAGAAGGCGACCCATTTCCCGACATGGAAGCAGAAACGCTGCAGAGGCTTCGCCTTCCTCCACTGCAAATCGGGAACCCAATAGACGATGCAGGTCGAATTCTCAAGGAATCGGCAGTCAGGGGAGATATTGGGGAAAAAGAAGAACTTAGCGATTGAATAGAAGGGAAAGTCTAGGTAGCAGAAGAAGAAAAGGAGGTGACATTAAAGGTGGATGATCCGGATAGGGAGAAAATCCCTAAATCGAAGCCTATCCTGCAAAATCCACTTCCGACCAGATCCAGGTTCTTTCTCAAATCCATACCCTGCAAAATCCCTAAATCGGAGCCTATCTCGCAACCAGTAGGGGCGATTCGGAGCTGATGACCAGATCTGTAGTCGCCACCACGAATCTGTTCGAGCTCCTCCGTGAAGCTCTTACGGGGCCCTTGAGGACTATCGCAGTCGTCAGTTCAGGTTGACTATCGCGAGCTTCAAGATTGTGTCGCGACGAAGAGAGGGATGAGGGACAGAGCCCTCATTGTTCCGCCGGAGTAGGAGTAATCATCGTCGGTGGTCTCATGCTTAATTGCCCGAATTTTCTTCGTTGGGTCACAGATCGGTGAAATTGGGGTTTTCTGGGTTTGGAAATTTTTTGAGAGAGAAGCGAATAGTGCGAGAAGAACACAGACATTTTATTTTCTTAATTATTTCTTATTTTGTAATTTTTCAATTTTAATTTTGATTTATTTTTAAATTAAAAATATGAGGTGTCATTAACGTGGCATCTACGTGGCTGCCACGTCAACAAAAGTCAATGTTAATGTTGACTTCCGTTTGGTCAACCGTTATCTATAATGGTCAACGAAATCGTCAGGACATAAATGACACACAACTATCATACGTTGTGACACAAATGTCATATCGAATACTTTATGACACAAATGACACAAAGTTAATAGTTTGGGTTTCCAAGTGGTATTAGCCCTTTCTTTTTTATTAGTGGCATATTGTTCCTAAAATGAGAGCATTGAAACCTTTGTGTAGGATTGTGAGGTTTCAGATTCAGTTTCAAACTATATATGGGCCGTGTGGTAATTCCCGTGAGCTTTTATATTCTATCTTTCATGACAATCAACTAACTAATATACTATTATCATTATGAAAATGAAATCAATTATACATTTTTATATTTATATTCTTAAATGATGATGGTATTTCTTCGAGTGTTCGACCTATATATTCTTTATTTATGTATCATCTCGATCAAAAGATTGTAAAAAAAATAATAAACGAATTGATAGATTTAAACATAACATAAAAATATAAATAATCAAATATGAACAGTCCGGCCAACGGGCCGGGTTATAAGCTAGTAAAAAGAAGATAAATGTTACAACACAAGTAAGGGAAAAGATGCAGGGATAGAGAGATGGAGCTATAAGCAATATGTTGCTAACAACAAGCAGCTCCAGCTCTCTGTATAAAAACCAGCAAAACAACAGAAGTCAAACCTCCTCATCCACCCAAAGATAAACCAGCATAGTACATAACAATGCAGAGCAAGAGGTCAAATAAATTAGTGGTGTGCAGGACAACCATTCAACGATCGGCTTCGTATCTCTATCTCCAAGTAGCCGTGACTCATCTCCTCCCCAGCCTAAATAAAAATCACAGTGAACGGGCCTAATCACAGTGAACAAGGACTTGATCGGGCCTTGTGCGACCAGCTTAGAGATGCAATGTGGTTCACCAAGCTTGATTTTCACTCGGGCTACTATCAAGTGCAGATAGCAGAGGGCGACGAGCCAAAGACAGCTTGTGTAACAAGGTATGGCTCTTACGAGTTTCTTGTGATGTCATTCAGTCTCACCAACGCACCAGATACATTTTGCACTTTAATGAATCAAGTGTTTGAGCCATTCTTGGATCGATTCATCATAGTGTACTTGGATGACATCGTAGTGTATAGCAATACACTCGATGAGCATGCCGAGCACCTACGCCAAGTCTTCCAAGTCCTTCGCGACAATGAGTTGTATGTCAAGAGGGAGAAGTGCACTTTTGCCGCTGTCAAACCGGGGAGCTCAATTAGTACGATATTGTCCGCTTTGGGCAAAGCCCGCACGGTTTACTCTTGGGTATCCTCCCCAAAAGGCCTCGTACTAATGAGCTTGGTGGACACTAATATACAAGGGTTCCTTCCCTTGTATTTCTGATGTGGTACTTGGATTGTCCCATAACAATCCTCCCCTCAAGACAAGGACCACGAACTTTGTGTCCTCTCCTCAGCGATTATCTTGATCCGCCAGACACCTTGTATCGATGGGCTTCTCGCTACAAGGATTTTTCCCAGACGTGGATCACTCGTGGATCCACCAAACCAGACGCGGACCTCCTTTGATCCGCCAAACCAGATGTAGCCTAGACGTGGATCTCTCGTGGATCCACCAAACATATTCGAATCTCAAATCCCGAGACCACCGAACGAGGATCCACCAAACTGACGTCCACCGCCCCGAACCGAACCAGACTCTGATACCACTTGTCAAACCGGGGACCTCAATTAGTACGATATTGTCCACTTTGGGCAAAGCCCGCACGGTTTTACTCTTGGGTGTCCTCCCCAAAAGGCCTCGTACTAATGAGCTTGGTGGACACTAATCTACAAGGGTTTCTTCCCTTGTATTTCCGATGTGGTACTTGGATTGTCCCATAACAGCCGTCATGGAGGTTCCTTTCTTGGGGGCACATCATTGGTGGAGGCAAGTTGAAGATGGATGGGGCGAAGGTGGAGGCAATACAAGAATGGGAGCCTCCGATGAAGGTGCCAGAGTTGCGGTCATTCCTCAGCCTTGCAAATTATTATCGAAGGTTCATCAAGGGTTACTCCAACATTGCAGCACCCTTGACGGATCTTTTGAAGAAGAACAAGGCTTGGGATTGGTCGGAAAGGTGCCAAGAAGCATTCGAGGCCTTGAAGGTAGCGGTGATGAAGGAGCCCGTGCTCGTGCTCCACAACCCGACGTTGGCCTATACGAAGTGCAGACCGATGCATCCGACTTCGTGATTGGTGGTGTTTTGATGCAAGATGGGCATCCCATTGCCTTCGAGATTCGGAAGCTCAACGAGAAGGAGAGGCGATACACGGTCCAAGAGAAGGAGATGACGGCCATGGTGCATTGCTTGTGAACGTGGAGGCACTACTTGTTGGGGTCGAAGTTCGTAGTGAAGACGGACAACATGGCAACGAGCTACTTTCGCACGCAAAATAAGCTCACCCCTAAGCAAGCGAGGTGGCAAGACTTTTTGGCCGAGTTCGACTTCGACATGGAATACAATCCAAGTAAGGCGAACTTCGTTGCAAATGCTCTTAGCCGCAAGTGTGCAGCCGCAAGCATCAGCCAGCCCGTGTTTCCTTTGAAGGAGCGGATCGTTGAAGACCTTGGCCATGACTCCTTCACCAAAACCGTAGCGGAGTACATCGAGCAAGGTAAGACTCGACGATTTTGGATGAAGGATGGACTCATCATGACCAAGGGAGAACGCGTGCTCGTGCCAAGATGGGCCAACTTGAGAAAGGAGATCATGAAGGAGTGTCATGATTCCAAGTGGGCTAGCCATCTCGGCATCGAGAGAACGCAAGCACTCATCGAAGAAGCATACTTCTGGCCACGTATGAGAGACGACGTGGAGATGTATGTGAAGACTAGTCTTGTGTGCCAACAAGAAAAGATGGAGCAGAGAAGCCCGACAGGCTTGCTACAGCCCTTGCTCACGCCTTAACGACCATAGGAGAGTGTAAGCATGGACTTCATCATCGGACTTGCCAAACTCGACGGATGTGGTAGCATCATGGTTGTGGTGGACAGATTCTCGAAGTATGGAGTGTTTATCCCTGCGCCAAAAGACTTGACGGCAGAAGATGCGGCACGACTATTCTTCAAGAACGTGGCAATGTATTGGGGCATTCCTAGCAACATCGTGAGCGACAGAGATGGGCGCTTCATGGGCCAATTTTGGCAAGAGTTGTTCAAGATCATGGGCTCCAACTTGAACTTCTCAACCGCATTTCATCCGCAAAGCGACGGACAGACGGAGCGGGTGAATGTCTTGCTAGAGGTGTACTTACGACACTATGTGAGTGCAAACCGGAAAGAGTGGGTGAAGTTGATGGACACGGCACAGTTCTCCTACAATTTGCACCGCAGCGAGTCGACAAACATCAGTCCATTCGAGTTGGCGATGGGGCAGCAACCGTTATCGAGTCAGGGTCAATCCAGATCAACCGAGTCAATAACCTTGAGACGCATCTATCCGGTTCAATAAAATTCTTGAAACTCTGAGTTGTGAGGAGAATGCATGTGATTAGGGTTGTTGGTTAGGGTTCCGTTTTTCCGTTAATCGAAAATCAAACCACTTATTTCCGCTTAATGGTTTTTTAGAACAATTTGAAAATTGATATCTCTTGGCACTAGGGATGGCAATGGGGCGGGTTTGGGGCGGGTTTACCTAAACCATCTCCATCTCCATCTTCAAATACTCAAACCCATACCCGCCCCATACCCATGCGTGGGAATGTTTTGCAAACCCATCCCCATACCCGTGGATTTCGGGTACCCATGGGTAATACCCGTCCCCGTACATCCAACATTATTATACCTAAAACTTACAAGAAAAGTTTTAATTATAACCCTAAACAAACCTATTATATCATGAAGTCAACAAAACACGGTCATTATCTAAATACGGTTCAAAGAATATGATCCTAAAACATCCATTAATACATAATATAGAGTACAATATTTTTTAAATTATTATGCTCTAACTCTTGATACATTTACTAAGTAATAATTAACTAACATAATCTTGTTGACAAGGGGAAAGTGAAAGAGTGAAGAAAAATTGAGGGAAATGAATTAGGTTTTGATTAAGGTGGTTACTCAATTGCATTTCTACTATTTATTTTCTCGAGTTATCATCATCATCATTGATAGATTACAATTTAATCCACATATTTTTTGAAATGTGGAGAAATTCTCTTGGTGGGGCGGGTATGAGTATGGGTATGGAGCGGGGGAGGCTAAAACCACACCCGCCTCATACCCATCAAACTCTTTGCGCGTTTTGCCCATACCCGGTCAAGCGGGGATTTCCCACGTTGACTGGGTCGGAGGCGGTCGGGTACCCGCGGACTTTATTGCCATCCCTACTTGGCACTTACTTGTTTTTTGTTGAGTGACAAAAACAGATGAACTAGTTTGATTTTCAATTCATTCAGATCAAGCGCATGCATTAAATGGTTCGTTGTTCACTCTCATAGGCACATAATACATGTTTTTGTTATTAACATTTCGGTTAACAGAATCGAACTGAAATTCCGCCACTGGTGGTGACGACTGGTGGTGACGACTTGACCTTGTTCGTTTTGGATCTCTTCCCATGTCTTACACGAAACTGCTACTCATTAGAAGAAGAAAAAAAAAAGAAATCAGACCCAATAAGTTCTGAGAAATCAAAGTAATGCACATGGTTACATATTCTACTCTTGGGTTCCATTCTTTTCTTCAACCATAGAAAAAGATGCGAGCGATCCAAGTAGATGAGTGAGCGTGAAGTTAGCATCTGGTTGAGTTTTATTAAGGCGCCTGATGATGGTTGCTAACAGAGTGGACAGAAATTTGAATTCCCCCTGTTAGACTAATTCTAAACAAAACAGGAATTTGAACTTTCCCCTGCTATAGACTAGTAATTTTTTTCGGCAGAAAGATAGACGTTATTGCGTCTTAGCTCATATTACTAGTAGAATGGTGTACTAATCCTAAACAAAAGCTGCATGCAAAAAGATAACATGTGAATGCACGTGCTCAATCAACATGAATTATGCAGTCGCATTAAAAAACTACACCGCTGGCCTGGTAAGATTTGCTCCCCTGCTCTCACCTGAGAAATATAATGGAAGTCAACTTCAACTTCATCAGTAGATTAGGGCTCCTACCTTGCAACTTCCAGTTACAAGAAATGGTTCATACCCAAACAGATTAGGATGTGACAGAATACAAACAGATGAGGAACTTTGATGCTCATTGTACAACGTCGACGACATAAACACATTCGATGAACTCGAACCACTTGAGCGGTCCACTGTGATGGTCTGCATTCTTCCTGATCTTCTCTGCTCCAAGACATCAATGGTTCAAAACCCTAGTTTGCAGATTGACCATACAAATCGAAAGATAGTATGTACAAGATAACATTATGTTATTGAAAATTAGTGTGGCCAAAACCCAGTTGACATAACTACCAACTTCCATTCATCTCACTCTCACTCACATACACGGCAACAAACCTACCATCTTCCCGCTGCAAATGTGTCGCCATATACAGCCACTTCTTCTTCATCAAATGTATAGCTCTGAGACTCTCTACATTACCCTCTTCCTGCTTCTTTCCTTTGTCCATCAACCCGGTGAATCCACCGGAATCTACTAATCTATCACAGTCCTCGTATGGAGAAGTAACAAAAAAGAAATGGGGGAAAGGTTGACAACTTGCAGAAAATGGCAAGTTTATTATCTCTACCATAAATCCTGTATGTTAATAACTGCCTGATCAAACACTCAACCGAGTCGTCTTGCTGAATCCGGAGGATTAACATCCGAGCTGCAAAATTGATACGAATGATAAACACAGTTACTTACTAGTTGACCATATGAGCAGTTCACCTCGCTAATAAGGAAGAACAAAGAAGAGGATAGACAAACCAATGATTAACATACTTGTGAGAACCAGAGCTCAGACTGACAGGGCCGTTAACAGTGGGAACCCCAAAGTACTGAACCGATATAAGATCGTTGTCCATCATTCTAGATGGCTCAGGGGCCGTCTGTAGGTCTATCGGTATAATCCTCGACGACATTCCTGCAATAGCAACACCCCAATGTACAGGGTTCAAAAAACATGGCTCACAACAATGCAATAACTTCCGTTGATTACACATTCTGTCAATGACCAACTCATCTCCATAACAGTTGTTATACAATCTCCTTGCTACACTAGTTACCTTGACAGAGTATGACCAGGAAGAACAGGACAGTGAACACCATTGCAAACAGATTGCCCGTCGAAGAAACCGGGGACTGCTTTGCTACTTTGGCCTTCTTCATAGCCTTAATCCTCTCGATCCTGGCGCGCTTCAACATGGCGAGCTCTGAGATCTCCTTGATGAGCTTGAGATCAGCTGCGTCCAGCGAGGGGCCTCGTGGTGGCCGCGGTGGCTTTGGTGACTTCTTATGTGGGCTGCTGCTCTTCCTGCGTTGCTGCTGCTTCTCGTCCGAATGATCACTGCCACTACTAGCAGTAGTCTCGTTGTTGTCCTCCGATTTCGCTTGTTGTTCGCCATCCGAATTCGTTCCTCCTCCATTCCCACACAAGAGCTTCTGCCCTTCTTCCTCCCCTTTTGCCAAAACGCTGTATACTTTGTTGAACAACGATCTCACGCCATTGCCGGGCGAAGGAGGAGAAGAAGGTTCCCCTGCTCTGCCAGTGTTATTATTGTTTGGCCCGCTTTCCAGATCAACGTAGAAATCTCTGCCTGCATTATTATCCTCCATCTCCATATCCCAAAACCCAAAAATCGAAATCTTTCCCTTCCTCTCTCTAGAACAAGCTCAAGAAATGCATATATATTATACTTAACAACAAAAAGAAATTGTGGCAATTTTGGGATTTCCCCTATTTCCCTCTCGGCTTTCCTCTACAAGAATGAATTTCCTCCCCTAATCGACAACCTGCAATCCGGTCGACGGAATCGCGGACTAATCCACCTTCTTCAGCATTCGAAGATCAGAAAATTTTCCTCAACCCTAAAAGAAAAAAGAAGAAAAAAAAAAGAAGCGAAGAAGCCGTAACTGAATCAGAACAAGAAACCTCCATAACCAACATTCAAAGCATTGAAACAGATAAAATCGGAGGAAATGCCGCTATGTCCGAATCAAAACCCTAGGAAAAAACTTCGCCGGCGGAATCGGAATTACCTTGTGCGTAAGAGAGAGAGGAGGAGGGAATGGCGGATCCGACGAAAGGGCGAGCGAGGAGAAAGCACACGGAGGCTATCAAACATGGAGAATTTTGATAGCCCGAGGAAAGAAAGAAAGGGAAGAAAAAGAAAAAAAAAATTACCAGAAGGCTTCTAGATTTGTTGTTGTTAATTGCAGAAATTGAAACAAAAAAAAAATCCTCTGGAAAATGGATATATAAGAGAGAGAGAGAGGAAATGGAAGCGAAAGATGAGGAATGGGCACGAGGGAATCGGGTCGGGTTTTTTTTTTTCAGGTGCAGAGATTGTACAGCTCAAGTTCGCAGGCGATGTTGGCCCAGGAATTTGAAATCAATTGTTTGGACTCACCGTGATTGCGCCGGCGGGCAAGGACGGCGGCGGCGGGAGGAGGAGGTGGAGAGGGACACGTGGATCGGTGTTGATTAGTATGCGACTATGCGTGGATGATGGTCTTGGCCGTCGGTGACCGACAGTTGGCACCTGGCGCGTTTGGTTTGTTATTTATATACACACAGAGTGGGAAGGAGAAAGAAGGTATGGAGGAAGGGACGTTGTAACGGGATTTAATGATTACTTCTCGAGATACCATTTGGTAGTTTTTGGGATTAAAATTAAATTGAACTAAATATTGGATTAGACATTTGTTAATTTTTCGGATTAGAGGCGGCATACCAGACGGTGGCAAATTAAATAGGCTGGGAAAATAGACCGGACCGTTAGAAAAACCGTGATCCAAACCGTACCGCATAGTTTGGTCTGGACCGTAGACCGTGAAGTATGGTCTGGTCTGGTCCATGGTCTGTATTATTTTATGATTTGATCTCTTGGTCTGGTCTGGTCTAGACCGCGGTTTACCGGACCAAACCGTAGACCCAACTGACTTGTCAATACGTGTTAACAGCCCATTCGACCACTCTCCAAACTCCCACAACGACACCCAAGTCTCAACCTTAATTTTGTGAATCTCTTCCCTCCTTCATTCACAACCACATTTAACCACATAGTAGAGATAATCGTGTCTCCATATGACATTATGTTAATGTTTATAACATTATGGTGCAAGCTGGGATGCTTTTACTTTGTATCTTTGTTATGTACTAAGATTTAGAGTATCAAAATTATCCATGCATGTTAGGATTAATGTTTTAAGGCAAATAACAATTATTTTTCTTGGTTATTGGTTCAATTTTTTGTGTGGTTAACTAAACAAATTATTCATTTTTCGTTAAGTGTGGTCTACCTGGACCAGACCAGACCGAACCAGACTGCACAGGCGTGGTCTGGACCAGACCGTATAGTCTGTGGTCTGGTCTGTGGTCTGTACTTTAGCCTCTCGGTCTGGACCGTAGATGATAGACCGATAATTACACATGTTTTTCACCCCATTCTGAAGCCGTTTGAGATGTGGATTCTAGTGTTTTAACCCGATTTCACGCTAGGTTGGGTGTTTATGTCATATTTCAGGACCCGGCGTTGGAATCGAGGCGGAGAAACGAGTTCTGGGTCGAAAGGAGCGAAGTTGGGACGAAGTAAGCTGCAGGAGGAAAATACCCGGTCAGGTGGCCAAATACCCGACCGGGTATTTATTATTTTGGGGCGCCCGAGAATCAGAGAGGGGCCCGAACAGGAGGCGCAAATCCCCGGTCGGGGATTATTGGCCATGACCGGGGATCTTTCTTGAGGCAAAGCGGCACGTTTTGAGCATACCCGGTCGAGACCCGAAATACCCGACCGGGTATTTCGACCGGGTATCGCGATCAGGCAGCAGATTTAAGGGAAAGGAAGGCCAACATTCAAGGGTTCCGGGTTTTTGAGAGATAGAGCGATTCCTAGAGAGAGAAAGCGACGAACCAGAGTTCCCAAGTGCCATAGCTTGATCTTCATCACCATTGGAGCCCGGCTTGAGCTTGGAGAAGTGCCGATTAAACATCCAGGAGCAGAAATCCATCTTCGCAGTATGATTTCCGCGTCTGAATCCGCTTTTGCTTCTTTCTCTATGGAGTAGTTTCCCCAATCATCTGGATATGGGGAACCCTAGATTTGTATGCTAGGTCTGATTGTATGAACCCAAGTACATAGTTTGTGAATTGATTATATTCGATTGAGGTTTGAATGATTGAATGACTTGAATCCTGATCAAATTCCTGTTGTTTCTGCTTTGACCTAGAATGAGAATATCTGCCTAGGTTGATAGAGTATCCTTAATTGAAGGTAGCGAATTGGTGACTTTAGTCGAGGAGCCAATTCGCTATTCTGTACCGGCTTCAATTCGGTAGTGGAGGTTTGGTTCGTTAGGGCTTCAATTTGTCTACTCCAGTGGAGGTTAGTCACCCGCTAGAGACTCAGATTGAGAGGGTCTGAAGACCTTTAGTCGAGACTTCAGGCTATTTAAGAAACTTCCGCAGTATAACTTTCATGAAAACTGAACTTGGTAAATTGCAATCCGACTTAACTGCAGTCTAGGTGGAACCATATCCGGGTGACCTCTCTTGACTTGACAACAACCGTTTAACTTGCTTTGCGTTTTTGTTTGTTTGAATCTGCACTAAAAGTTCATTGCTAGATAACGAGAATTCACCGAGTAGTCATCACATCTAGGACCCAGGTTGACAATAAAACCCAAACCCGCTATACTACGCTTTAGGAAGTGGTTTCACTTGGCCATTTTCTAGAGTGACTGTAGGAGTGAGTCAGTAGACCGTATATATGGTCTGGTTTGGACCAGACCGCACCGTTTCCCAGCCCTAAAATTAACGGATCAATCAGGGCGGGGATGCAATTTGCTTCATAAACTAAATTGTTCATCTTCGTTTTTACAATCGCGTTTGTTTCCCAAGCGAAATCAAATACCACCGCCAGTGCCGAATTTGTTTTCGGCGATGTTGATTTGATGTTTCACGACGGAAACTTTTGCGGTGTCGTTTGATCGAACGCACCACTGATTGTTGAAATCAACGTGACCGTCAAATGTCCACCGCCGGGCTTATTTAAAGAGATAAAATAGAGATTTACCTGCCGGTAATCCTCCTCTACAGATCGACGAAGAGACAGGAGTGCAACATGCCCATCGATGCTCGACATGGATTGGGGGGCAACAACTTCATCCAACCGATATGTCTATATGCCTCCTCTGCTCGGCCAACTTCGATGTCGGCCATACGCTCCACCTTCACAGATTCTTGTGGAAGATCAACGTTGTGTTTTCCATGCCGCAGAGCCATATTTCACTTCAAACACACGTATCCCACCGGGAGTGCCAAATTGTTTCCCCAGCGAAACCAAATAACACCGCCGGTGCCGAATTTGTTTTCGGCGATGTTGATTTGATGTTTCACGACGGAAACTTTTGCGGTGTCGTTTGATCGAACACACCACTGAATGTTGAAATCAACGTGACCGTCAAATATCCACCGCCGGGCGTCGGGCGAAGTTGATTTGATCGATGCACCTCTGAATGCTGAAATCAACGTGACCGTCAAATATCCACCGCCTGGCGATGTTGATCTGATCAATGCACCTCTGACTTCTAACCAACGCGAACGTTACTACTACAGTTCGAAACTCTCCAAACTACGTTCGAACGAGGGTGTTTGAGTTTTGGGGAATCAACGTTACGACTACTCCTATGGAGATTCCTGTGGAAAGCTCCGCGGCTACGACTGGAAATCTTGTACTCACTTATTGATTAGCAATGTCATATATGAGATTGCTATTGAACTTCATATCATTCCCTCAGTTTGTAAGAGAAGAGAAACTGATAATCCTCTCATTCTATCTTTGTATTGGAATAGCATTTTAACTGGTCAGGATTTTGTAGAGGGTGGATACATTTAGAAAAAATTCATAGGATAAAATAGTTTTTGTTAGCTTTTTAAATCATCAATTATATAGTTTTGTATTTACAAAAACTTGATAAATTAAATATATGTCAAAACTATAAAAAAAATATCACTCTATATGTATCAAAAAAATCATTGACGACTTAGTCAAGACCGTTTAGCATCAATAAATCGAGTTGTTGGGAAAGATTTAATAATGAATTTTATAGTATTTAGTATTACTAACACTTACCTTCTAACAAAAACCAACTTATACATGCTCAAAGTTTTCGCAAATTCGAATATCATGTGCTTAACAATCTAGAACACCAAAATTCGAACACATGATCTCTCGGTCACAGTTCTCAATTAGAAGTGTCCTAAATTTCATTCTCAATTAACTATTATACTAATTTACTCATTTTCATCCTATGGAGCCACCCATTACACTCTCTATATCCCTGATTTGATAAGAAATTAGCTATGATTTGGTGAAAATTTGTTGTATATATTGAATAAGTACATCTTTAATTTTGAGCGAATCATATGCACCAATTTCATTTGTACATAGCTCATTATAAAAACATTGAATATGTCAATACACAAACTATAAATCATATATCAAATATTTGAAAGGTCAACCATTCTCATTTAAATACATGTTATTTTTCATATCCGATTAACTCTTATACATAATTTACCATATTATCTCCCAAGCCAGACCGGGACCCACCCTCTAACCCTCTCCCTCCGCTCTTGTTAGTACGAAGGCAATTGCACTTTCATCATATTTTCCATAATATTCTCCACCTCTATCAGATCTGACAATTTTCACCTTTCTTTCTAATTGCCTCTCAACTTCATTGATAAACACCTCAAGGGTATCTACCGACTGAGATTTTTCATGCAGCAAATAGATAAATCCATAACGTGAAAAATCATCGATAAAGGTAATGAAATACTTTTCTCCACCAAGTGATGGAACATCAAAAGGCCCACAAATATCAGTGTGTATAATTTCAAGGAGATGTGAGCTTCTTGTGGCTGCTTTCTTAAGTGTGTGTGTTTTGTGTGTTTTCCTTTAATACACTCAACACAAATTCCAAGGTCAGTAAAATCCAAATGAGGAAGGATTTCATTCTTTACTAGCCTTTCCATTCTTTCTTTGGATATGTGACCCAACCGTTTATGCCACAAGTAAGCAGAGGATTCATCAAACAAACCACGTTTAATACCAACATTATGATGCAAGGTTAAGAGAGTCTCAGCGAATAGGGTATCAAGCTTTAGTTTGTACAACCCATCAACAAGGGTACCAGAACCCAATAAAACATTCTGTTTGAACAAACTAATAGAACCATTTCCAATGTTCCAAAAATACCCAGTCTTATCTAGTTGAGACACCGAAACCAAATTACGAGAAATAGAAGGAGCATAAAGGGTATTGACAAGGTCCAAATGATGACCAGTATCTAAAACCAAACGATAAGTCCCAATAGCTTCAACTGGAACTTTGGCTCGATTTCCCATATAGATGAACTTCTCATTTTTCCTTATGGTTTGGGTCGTAAGGAATCCCTGCATCGTTTTGGAAACATGAATGGTACAACCAGTGTCAACCCACCAAGTATTATAACGAACCTCAGTTAAATTTGATTCGAAACATACTGAAGCACTAGGCTTACCCTTTCTTTCGAACCATGCCTTTCTTTTCAAGCAATCTTTCTGATAATGTTCGGCTTTCTTACAGAAGCGGCATATATCCTTACTTGGTTCCTTCT